CCTAAACCCCTAAACCCTAAAGGAAGTTTTGGTTTGGAGCCTCGAGGTGTACTCTACGCGTGACTGCAAAGGGGTCTTACGATTGGTAGGTACTCTACTTGGGGACGTTCATGGGTAGTTATAAGTGGNNAGTCCCCTAATATGGGTTATAATTCTAGTTATCCTACTTAGAACTCCACAAAAAACTACCCATGAACCTCCAAGTAAGGGGTGTTCGGGTGTCGTTGAAACCCCCAAATCCTAAATCGCAGTTTGACAGACGACTCCAAGGTGGAGACAACCAACATCAGCGCAGCCACTTATGTGAAGGACTTGTAATCACGAATTTTGTGGATTCAAGGGCTTTATGCGGTATTCTTTGAGGGGTTAAACTAGGTTTCAAATGTGGGGTTCCATTGGCATCACGCCTCCACGTTCAAGAGCGCTTGTCCCTACCTCTAATCTCGAAAGCACCGTATCTAAGTGTAGGGCTCCGTGCTCAAGGTTTACAGCAAACTAAAGACCTAAACCCTAAAACCCAAACCCCCAAGCCATCCCTCAACACCCCAAGCCCTAAGCCGCAATCAAACCCATATAGCCCCAAACCGTGAACCCTAAAATCTAGAAGCACCAAGTCCTGAACGAAGCCCCAAAACCTGAAAGCCCCACACCCTAAAGCCTAAACGCTCCAGCTCCCAAGAACCTAAAAGGCCCCAAGCCCTACACCCGAAACCCTGCAGTCGGGGTGAGTCCTCGAGTGCTGTTGGTGTTCGGCTTCTTTCTTCGTGGATGACTATCACAACCATGGCCCCTTAGGGTTTAGGGTTTAGGGCTTTGCGTTTAGGGTTTAGGGCTTTGGGTTTAGGGTTTAGGGCTTTGGGTTTAGGGTCTAGGGTTTACGGCTTTGGGTCTAGGGTTTAGGGTTTAGGGTTGTGAGGAACCCTGTATGATTCCAGTCTGAATACGGCACGCTATAGTTTGGGAACCCCAAAGGGACCCTAGTTTTGACGACCACATATGTACAGTAGGTGCCCACAAGGCGAACTGCAGATCTGTTTTTGCCTTTCCGTTGAGGTCTACACAGTCTATACATACCTTAACCTACCAAAACCCACTTTCTGTAGGTTCTTATTATAAACTCTAATATGGCAATTATAGGGACCCTACAAAAAAGTAGGTTCTAGTGGGTTAAGGTAGTTATACGGTACCATACCCCAAGACCCTCTGCAAGCTATTATCGCTCTCACAGTAGTTCCGATACAAAGCCCGCAGTGCAACCGTTAAGCCCGCTCCATGATGGTTCCCTACACCCTGAACCCTAAAGTCCGAGACTTCCTTACTTGGGATTTGCTCTGCATAATCTCCCTTGCAGGAATAGGGACAGACTGGGGGGTTGGGGTAGAAAGGTAACGCTGGAGAACCCGAAACGATTTACAGCTTGAAAGCCTTAGTGCGAAAACATCAAGCCATCCAGAGCCCTACCCTAAACCCTAAACCCTAAACCCTAAATCCAAAACACTGAACCCTAGACCCTAAACCCTGAACCCCAAACCCTAAGCCCTGATCCCTAAACCCTATACTTCTGGAACCCGAAAGTCTACAACCTCAAGATTTCGCGATCTCAAAAAGATTCAAGACTCTTCAGGTTCTAGGGTTTAGGGTTTAGGGGTTAGGGTCTTAGCGTCTAGGGTCTGATTTAGGGCTTTAGGGTCCAGGTTTCGGGGTTGGGGGTCTAGGGTTCAGGGCTTTGGGTTTAGGGTTTGGAATGAGGGATCAGGGTATACGGCCCTTTGCTAGAGGACGCCAGGGTCTACGCTGCTTGGAGATCGGTGATGGTGGACTTGACAGAGCTGGAATCCAAACAGGCACCCTCTTGGAGGGCTTCTTGAAGGGTTTCGTTTTGGTCTTTTAGGGCTTCGGTTTGGCTTCTACAATGGTTGTCTCAGAGGTTCCTCTAAAGGGGCCTCGATAAAGCCTAGACCTGAATCGGGACTTGGGGGCTTAGGAGTGCAGTGCAGGGTTTGGGGCTTTCGGGCTCAGGAGCTTTGGGCCCTAACCCTAAACCCTAGACCCTACGTAAACCTTCAACCCTAAACCCTATACCCTAAACCCTAAACCCTAAAGTCTGCGCTCTCCTGGGGCCGCGAACCCCGAGTGTGAAACTTGCGCGGATGGGGCTCAGCGCTGCGCGTTTTCGGGTGAAACGGCTTTTGCTTCAGGGTTTAGGGTTTGAGGGTTGAGGGGTTTAGGGGTT